GTTTTTAGACCAAATGTTACAGATTTGAACAAACACGCACTAAAACATCAAAATTAGCACAGAAACAGTACTATATAACATTTTAGACACATTCTAGACAGTTTATCAGCTAAAAAAGTTAATTTTGGGGTAAGTTACTCTTTAAAGATGAGGAAACACAGCGTCTGGTGATGTCCATGAGTTCAAGACTTCAGGCAGTCATTGCCAACAAAGGGTTTTCAACCAAGTACTAGAAATGAACATTTCTAAACACCTATCCATGTTTAATTATGTTGTCAGTATTTCCCAGTTTGCAATGTGATCAGACGACAGTCACGTTTTATAAATTTATCAAAACTAGTTTATGAATTAGTCAGTCATATACAGTATTTGTGTAAAAAAATCAAGGTTGATTGATCATTCTTTGTAAAATTACCTTCTGATGGATGTAAAAGTAGCAGCTGCTCACCAGACTGAAGATTCTTTCAACAATCATCACATTCAAAAACATCGAGACATTTTTATTCAGACAGACTTTCAATTAAGTTTTGTTTTCAGGTTTTTTTAACTGTTCTTGATTATATTTGTTCTAAGATTATATTGTGATGCTTGTGTCTGTGAAAGGAGATATAGAAATTAAGTTAATTTACTTAGAGGTTTTCACAGTAAAAAAAGGAGAATTTTTCCTACTCTATATTTTTGTGGGATTGTTAGGTCTGTTATGTTCATCGAGTAGGTCAAAAAGAACAAACTAACTTCAAAAAAATTCACACGTAAGGTTGTGCTGAACAAAGAGACACCAAAAATGGCAGGTTAAACAGGGTGAAGTGTAAAATCAAATGTAGTCCCAAAATGACCCGTTTCACCCTGGATCCCAGAAGGTTACAAAGGGGGAAGTGATAGAAGGAGCTGAGAGAGAAGTAGCCATGATGCTAAGCTAGCGCTAGCGAGAGCTAGCAGATGCCAAAAATACCAATAAAACCAAGAAGTGTTGAAAGATAAAAAAGTGTCCTAAAGGCGACCTATTATGGGGGTTCTAGCACAAGTTAGGATCCATCTGTGGGCTATACAACATGTTCATTTGATTTAATTCACAAAAAGAATTTCAAAAAATTAAATTTCAGCTTTTCAATTCTGCCTGTTCTTCAGCTCTATCCAGATTGTGCTGTGTGAGCAAGTTGCTTTGGAAACCCCCCTCCCAACCGTATGTTTACGTTAGCTCTGCCCCCCGACATGGTAGAAGTTTCCAAAGTGAAATTATTTTCACAAACTACAACTTTCTTTGGCAATATTGTTAGAACATTGTCATCAAAGATAAAAATAAAATTAATCCAGGCATCTCTGGTCTCCATGGCTGCTGTAAAAACAGCACAACTATCATCCCGTGAAGAAGTGGGCGGAGCTTCACCTTTAGTTGCCAGGTGAGGAGCTGGACTCGGGTTTAGTTTTGCTAGGTGACTGTTATTGTGATGTCAGAATAACGTGCTTTGAGAAAAAACATGTCTCCAGATACCTAAAAATACATGTAATTACAGCTAAAAAAAACGACTGGGTGCATTTTTTATTTGTGTTTGGACTGCTTCTCTAAGCAGTAGAGACCCAAAAGCAAGTTTAAAAACATAAAAAAAAGTGAGTTTTGCATAATAGGTGCCCTTTAAGCACAATCTAATTGTAGGAAAAAAAGACAGAATGCTCACGTTCTAGAAATAGAACTGTGGAAAAGTTAGATAATCTAGAAAATCAAGAGTCCTCGGTCAAACTAATTTCACAAATTACCAGCAGAAAAACAGGAAGTGACATAATACGTCTTACTTAAATAACTTCAAAGTCACACAAGTGAGGTTGTGCTGAACAAAGAGACACCAAATATGGCAGGTTAAATAGGGTGAATTGTAAAATTGTAATCCCAAAATGACTTGATTCACCCTGGATCCCATTACAAAGGGGGACCAGATGTGGTTTGCACTACAGAAAAACACAACCCTCAGCCTCACTGGAAAAGTCTGTGCTAAAGATTTGGAGTTTACTTTGTACTTGAAACATAAATATATTATCCTAATTTGCTTTGTAGCTGTTGATTAAATATAAAAATTAGCTGCTTTATTTTTCTTTGTCTTCAGAACTGCCACAACATTATGTCTGTAAAGAGGAGGTTCTTCCTGACCAGACAGAAGAGMAGTTTGTTCTGGAACAGAAGACTGATACCTTCATTGAGACTTCAACTTGTGAAGATCAAGACCACAGTGAACCAGAACCAAACATGGACCAACTCCACTGTCACATGTCTCCTGTAGAAGGGATCCAAGAACCAAACAGAAGCATGCAGGAAACACCAGGACCAAGTCCAAACTTAGTGCTGAAGGCAAAGAAGAGTTCTGACAGAAACAGAAGTAAGACTGTAAAAAGCTCTTATCTGTCAGACAGTCTGTGTGATGTTGACTCAGATAAGGTTTTGGTCAAATGGGACATTTGTGGTAAAACTTTGAAGATAAAATCCTTTTTGAAGAAATGTGGCAGAATTGACACAGGTGAGAATCATGACTTTGATAACACAGGTGAGAAATCAGTTTGTGCCTCATCAGCACCACGACACAGTCACATAGATGAGAGTAAAACAAACACTAACAAGAGTCATAGAACTATTTTTTCTCATTTATCATCACTGAAGCGTCACAATAAAGTTCACTCACAGGAAAAATCTTTTTCAGCTAAATTATGTGATAAAATGTTTAAACAAAGTAACAATTTGTTGTCCCAAATGAAAACTTGCAAAGGGAAAAAATCATTTTCTTGTAAAGAATGTGAGAAGAACTTTAGTTGTAAGGGTCACCTATTGACCCACGTGAGAACTCACACAGGTGAGAGGCCCTATTCTTGCGAACAATGTGAGAAGAGTTTCAGTCTAAAGAGTAACTTATTGACCCACATGAGAACTCACACAGGTGAGAAGCTATATTCTTGCAAAGAATGTGGAAAGAGTTTCAGTCGAAAGGGTAACTTATTGACCCACATGAAAACTCACACTGGTGAGAAGCCATATTCTTGCGAACAATGTGGGAAGAGTGTCAGTCGAAAAAGTACCTTATTGACTCACATGAGAACTCATACAGGTGAGAAACCTTATTCTTGCAAAGAATGTGGAAAGAGTTTCACTTTAAAGCATCACTTGTTGTTTCACATGAAAACTCACACAGGTGAGAAACCACTTTCGTGCAAAAAATGTGGGAAGAGTTTCTTACAAACAGGTAACTTATTAAAACACATGAGAACTCACACAGGTGAGAAGCCGTATTCTTGCAAACAATGTGGGAAGAGTTTCAGTCGAAGTTATACGCTATTGACCCATATGAGAAGTCACACAGGTGAGAAGCCATACTCTTGCAANGGAAGAGTTTCAGTCGAAGTTATACGCTATTGACCCATATGAGAAGTCACACAGGTGAGAAGCCATACTCTTGCAAACAATGTGGGAAGAGTTTCTTTCAAACGGGTAACTTATTGACCCACATGAGAACTCACACAGGTGAGAAACCATTTTCTTGCAAAAAATGTGGTAAGAGTTTCTTGCAAATGGGTAACTTACTTGCTCACATGAGAACTCACACAGGTGATAAGCCATATTTGTGCAAACAATGTGGGAAGAGATTTGGTCTTAAATTCAGCTTATTGAAACACATGAGAATTCACACTGGTGAGAAGCCGTATTCTTGCAAACAATGTGGGAATAGTTACAGTAGAAGGGATACGTTATTGACCCACATGAAAACTCACACAGGTGAGAAGCCAATTTCTAGCAAATAACGGAAGTAAAAAATACTTGGAAAAATCTTTGCAGTGCCATAAATGACAAAATTTTGATCTTAGCCCCCAAATAAGCGTTTTCTCCATTTAAAAATTTTCTGGTGAAAGTCACAAGAAGTAATAATTAGTAGTTAATTAGTATAATGTTTCTGTTTCATATTAGATCAGTCTCTTCCCTGGTCACTTTTAAAACTTAACCTTGTTGTTTTACCTGTTTTATAGCCTGGTAAAAACCAGACCCCTGTCCTTCACTTTGCTTCGTACGAGGGTCTGGACTTTCGGCTATAGAGAAGCGATTCTTGCAGGAGGCGTGGCCTCTGCTGAAGTTTAAAACGATTGGATCGGTTGGCCGCGACATGTGTCGCTGTGAAGGAGGCTAAGCTAAGACACTAACAGGAAATCGCGTGCGCTGTAAACAACCCTACTGAGAGAAGAGAAGTACCGAGGCGAACGAGACGACTGTAAATGAGAGCTGCTGCTTTGTCAGACAAATTTAATTTAATATGGAAGCCTTATCAACACCGACTGGCTTCATTCACTTCCTCCACTGCCGTATGCTAAAGTAACTAGCAGACACTGCGCAGAAACTCGACGTCGTTCAAAACTCTGTCTTCTGTTTGCTGAATGGCCCAGATAAAACAAACTACAAGCAGACACTGCGCAGAAAATCGACGTTCTGTTCTCTGATTGGCCTGGACGAAAATCCTCCTGAAGAAATCCTTATCTATTGGAGAAATCCAGGGGTGAAAGTCGTTTTAAGTTCTTGCTGGTAATATGACATAATGCAACATTAACTGTCTGTGTGTGTGTGTGTGTGTGTGTGTGTGTGTGTGTGTGTGTGTGTGTGTGTGTGTGTGTGTGTGTGTG